ATATATATATATATATATATATATATAAATTCTTAAATTGGCGGATCACACAAAGGGTAAACTTAACATTTAGGTTTTTAAAATTTTGACCACTGTTCTAAATTAACTATTTGGACTGCGAGGGCTCAGAGAATGGAGCGTTCGCTTCCAATGATTTGAACCCCGGGTTCAAATCCCGGTCGATACGAATTCCCAGTGGTAGACGGATCATGGGTTAGAGTCCACCTGCCGTCAAGCTAACCGTGAAAGGTTCTCGTGGTCTTCCTCTCCATGTAACACAAATGCTGGTTAGTTCCATCAAAAAGTTCTCCGCGAATGCAAATTTCTCCCAATACTTAATCCAGAAGTTCCCTTGTCTTCTGGATTGCGTTCAAAATTACAAGGATACGTAGTGGAATATTAATAGTCGTAAACCCAAAAATTGATGGGTTGGTTGTTCAACGACCGTTGTAATATCTAAAATAAAATTGCAGCTAGTCCTCATATTTTGAGGGTCAAAAATTCAAGTTCCTCGACGAAAAAAAACCTTAAGTTTTTCAAAGAAAGTGCATTTCGTTACTTAACTTGTATGCGCAAATTAATCAATTCTGAAGTGATTAAAACAATACTTAACTCTCGGAAATCCGAATATTTGATCAAAAGTTATTTAGCACAAAAATTTGAGGATCCTTACCGTTGCAGGAGACGCCATCGATACTGATGGTCAGATGAGCTGGACATATGCAGTAGTAAGACATGTTTTCCACATCGAGAAACACGCAAAGATATTGACAGCCAGGACATGCTTGAGCTGGCACTATCACAACAGAGCCATCACCAGAATTTGAACCGGGTTCCACTAATGTCCGAATCGCATTTGGCATTATATATGATGTTCCACCTTGACCGTTGTAGTATGGACTCTCTATCTCGGCTGCATCACCTCCTAAAACAAAAATAATAATAAAAAAATAAAAATAAATTCATATTTTTAAATTTTAGCATCATTATGTTACGCATGAATAAATAAATATTTTAATTTCAAGAAGTGAATAAAACTGATTGCTATTTTATTTAGTTCGTCAACTGAAAGAAATACTGTTAAAATTAACATACTGTTCATGAAATTTCTGGTAAGTAAAAAAGGTATAATTCTGGTTAATAAAACGAAAATATGTTGTAGTTAATTCCGTATTTTCCGTTCATATGGTAACGGTTCACCAGAAATTCTGGTTTTCAAAATTATAGTTCTTATTATCAAGCCTATTGTTCTATTACCGAGGTCCGTTAAGATTGAGTACTAGAACGTGAAGATCCGATCATTAGATCAAAAGTAATACAGTGTGGCCCATTCCTCTTTTTTTGAACACTGTGCATAATTTTGCCACAATCACCTTTTAACCTTAAAACATTCTTTTATGATATAAATCAAAAACTGGATAAATAATACATTCAATTCGACTTTAAACTTACTTGTAAATAAAACGACAGTTTTAATGTATTGATATAGCTTTTATCTTAATAATAAATTCCATGCACAAATACTTAAGGCAAATTAAGCTGTATCTTAGACATATCAACTATCTATAAATCTTTTTGTCTGAAGTTTCCCTTTTATTAATGAGTATACATTACCTATATTGAGTTTAGCTAATTCTTCCCCAACAAATAATTCGTTCCAGAAGCTTCGATTATTGTTCAATCGATCGGCTTGCAAATACCCTCAGAATATATTTTCTTCCATTTGCTTAGAATATTCTCAGTGCCCGAGCAAAGTGAATTACTTTTTATTCAGGGAGCAATTCAATTTATTTGCCTCGTTGTTCCCAACTCATTTAATGTTATATTGGATACGTGTAAAAAGATATTATATGATGAATTTACAAAAAATATATTTCATGCTTAGTCCGTCATAGCAGACTTTAATCAAAGTTTAGCAAACTTAAGCGCTGCTTGTAAAAACAACTATCAAAATAAAATAATTTTAACATAAATTATTGAAATGACTCTCAATATCATTTTAAGTTAGTTATCTTATGTTGCTAAATCTTTAACTAGTCTGACTATTATGAATGGCACAGAATGGTATGTATAGACAGCCCTTAATATGTATTTTTAAAATCCTTTTTTTTGTTGTTAAAAACTAATGCTTGGGAAAGTCACAAATTGATGTTTAAGCGAGGATAACACGCCATGGAACACGAGGATATAAAAGCTATGGAAATTTGACTAATTACATAGCTCTCTAAAACTATTCTTACTCTAAAGAATATCTGGAAATTAAAAAGCCCATTCTTTCAATTTATATAAACGAAAATAAAATTACGCCTTAAAAATTTATGCATATTTTCATTTAAATGCAAATAAATTAAAAAAATAAATTAATATAACTTTATAAAATCTTTATACTTTAATAATGTATTAAAATTTTAAATGTTGTTACAAATAAATAAATATTCGTAAAAATATTTTTTAAAGAATTCTTTTCGGACATTTTTTAAAATCTTACATGCCATCGTTCCATCTTACATACGTTTTAGAATATTTCAGATTTTGAGGTGTTTTCAACTTTCTTGGAACAATAACTTTCATGTGTAGTTTTAATGTAAAATATTTTCTTCTTCTTAAAAAAAACCTTAAGTAGGGTTTTACTCGAAAAATCTATCACAGAATATAGAGCAACTATATTTCTACTTTTTATAGATATCTCACGTTGCCAGATTTGTCGGATTAAATCTCTTACTTCAATTTATCATATCTTTTCGAAAAGAAAAATTCCATCTTTACTACTGCAACTCGCTGCTCCTCGATACGTTACACTGGTATTAGTTGTACGAAAGAAATCGAAAATAAACTTTTTGAGTTCTAAATTTGATGGATGAGGCAATATTTGAAATATGATGGCAAGAATTTTTTTAGAAAAAAAATGATATCAAGAATTTTTTTATTACTATTTTTTTAGAAAAACAAAACTCCAGTTTCACAAAAAATTCGAAAGCTTAAAAAACTAAAATAATGTGAGCGTGAAAAACATAAAAATTTAATCAGACGATATTTCTGTGCGATTGAGAAAAAATCTTTTTATTTTATTTATTTTTTTATCGTTTGACTTTTCTGCGAGGAAAGAATATGGCGTTGGCGCGGGAGAAGTGGGCGAATTTTATTGATCATCATCTCAAAGGAAGACATTTTAAGAGACTATATTTCGCAATATGTTTTAAAGCGATTTCTCTAGGCTACCTTAGTTCACATAAAAATCCGTCGTATGTGGTCAGTTTGTTCCATTTTCATTGCAACTTTTAACATTTCATGGGTTAAAGTGTTCCTCAAATAAATATCATTTCTTCTTTTTTCTTTCAGTTTTGTATTTTGGTAACTTGAAAACATATTGAAGAAGTTTGTTCGTAGAAAAGTAATACAATTCTTTTTTGATGCGTAAAACCTTTTTTTACAGTTTATACAGTAAAGTTTTATTTTAACTTCAATACAGTGTATATTTTTTTTATTAAAAAAACGAAATAAACATTAGATTTTTAAAAGTCACATTTAGTTCCGAATGTATATTGAAAATGAGAATTGGCTACAAGTTTATTGCTTAGATTACTTATTTGCAATTAAATGGGAAATAGAATAAACAGGAATATTTTTAATACTAATTTATACTATCATCACAAAAATGTATAAAAGAAAAAACTCATGTCTTGTTAACCAGGATAGTGTAATTTGGTTTATAGAACATGAATCATGAAGCCCAGACAAGTTTCTGAACCGAATAATAAATTTTACAGTTTCTTATGTAAGTTTGTTGTAGATAAGTTTATTTAAATACAAACCTCTTTTTAATTTTTTAATTAAAGTGATTTTTAATAGGAGATTGTTAATAATTTTTAAATTAGATTTTCAACTGTTCCTTCAAGAGAAATGTTTGGGTAGTGCTTCTCAACCTTATCTTGCGATCTCCCGATAATTAAAAAGAAGTAAACACGAATACTTTACGACCCCCTACCCTAAGCCGTTAAGAAATTGACAAATTTTTTGCTTGTTTCTAATGTCTTACCACGTATGGACAAACTTTTTATGGGAAATCAATCTCAATAATCCCATTAATTATATACTGATAACAATGCAAGTTGTAATCAATTATATAGCAATTATTTGCACTGTAATTTATTTGAGTTCTAATTTATTGGAATTTATTTGAGTTATTTGAATGTTTATATTTATGTGCGTGCTATTTATTATTTCATGACCACCTAATCCGTCTCCTCAATCCTCAGTTTTGGCAATGCTGTGCTATGTTAAAAACTATATTTTAAGAACCAGATACGGTGCGTAAAAGTTTCCTAGAAATATATTTTTAATTGTTTGTGATAGAGTTGAATATAAATAAACAATAGAAAATGTAGTTTTTTAAGTAAACTATTAGGATTTTTATCATTAAAAGTTTACATTTATTTCAATGTGATCATTTTTAAAGCCGCAGTTTGATTTGCTATTGTGTAGATCTATGATGACGAAATATGGTGCTGGAGGAGCGTGATATAATTGACTTAAGGCTCCTATGCTATCAGAGCTGACCTATCAAGCAATATTGGAGCAAAAAAGTTCACAAGTTAACGTTATGTTAGTATTGTGCTTATGTTAGCTCCTTGGAGCAAAAATAGATGATGAGTCGGCCTGTCTAATTCAGGGGCTATAAATTGACTAATTGAAGACTGTGACGAAATCATGATCATGAAAATGGCAGTTGATGACGAAAATTGGATCACAATAAAACTTTTATTCAGTAGCATTTGTAGAGCTCGAGGTACAAAATGAAAAGAATATTTAATCCAAATAAATTGAAATAATAAATTTTACATAGTAATATCAATAAGGCCAGGCCATGAGAGATTAATCTCCCATGATCAGCCTAATCAAAAGCTAAATGAAAAAGTGATTGAATTGTTCCCAACAAACAGTTAGGAGCATAGGAAGAGATCCATAGTTGGCAATTCCATTGTCGAAAAATAAAATAGACAAAAAAAAGCCAACTCCGTATAATTAATATTAAATTTTAAAGTAATTGAGCTCTAGACTAATCGTCAAAAAAAGACCGTGATAATTAATATAACCCTGTAACAAAAATATTTTTGAGGTGAGAGAAATAAAGAATAAAGAGTTATAAATAGAGATTTTGATGTTCGATTTAGTAGCGACATGGAATTAGCGAGTTTTATATTTGTATTGAATTAAAAAGTTAGCCGTTATAATGATTGTTAAGAAGAGAATAAAATATTCATATTTACTTTTTATAAAATGTAATAAAATATAAACAATTGGTATAATTAAATTGAAATTAGATTAAGAATGATGAAAAAAATTTAATTTGAGAAATTCAGGAAATTTAAAAGCTAGGAAATACGTAATGCCTATTATAGCATCACAAGATCGTCAAGTCATAAAAAATCATGTTTTAAAACTCTAGAAAAATCATCCTGGTTTAGTTAATGAGAAATTTTTTATAAATGTTTGTAGGTTTAAAATCCAGTTAACAATCGAGGAAACACTTACAAGTCTTCAATAAGATGTCATCTAAAATTTTAATATATTTTAATAAAACTTTCTTAGCTTCAATTTAAAAGATATTATTCCATTCCAGAATTAATGAATAAACAAAAATAATATTTTGCTAATCTGACTTCGGTTTATTGTACTAAGATAAATATATTAATAAGTAAGTATTTAAATTAAATGTAAATTCTAAATCGAACCTATAAAATATCCAAACCGCCATTAAATGGTGCATCATTTTATGGTTTTTCACCATGAAATGGTTTAATTTTGTTCTGATTTTTCAGTCAGTGTACAAATTATAATTTTTCTTTCAAATAGGGTTTTTAAAAGCAGTTGTCTCAAAATTAAAAATAAAGTTATTACAAAATATCCTCTCCCGTTATATCACAA